ACCCCAAACAGATCAATGACAAATCAGTCCTACAAACCCAAATGATTTTGCCGCAGTCTGGACACAAATAGCAGTTTATCCCTGTCAAAGTGTGATGATAACGGTCACCAGCCAGCAGCAGTAAGCTATCTTTATCCAGCTGAGGTCAGGGTAGCTGCTGAGCCAGCTCATGATAAATTATAACAATGTCATCCTCACATCCGACTTTGAGCCTGCTTTAATGATATAAAATGGGCATGAAATCTGGGATGGCTATAGTTACTGTATGGGCTGTGCATCATACTCACATATAGTGAATGAGTGAGGGCGTACAGAAGTGATGAAAGTAACGGCAAGGCAGAAAGAAAGCAAGTAAACAAAAGCGGTAAACACCAAGCAGAGAAAAAAATGCAAGAACAACAGGAGAGCAGTCTGGTAGAGAGAAAGAGCCTTAAAGCAAAAAGGCAGAAAAGGGTAATAAATATCCATGGGCTGAGAACGTCCTCACCCACACTCATGTGCTTCATCTCCACTTCTTCACCCTGTCACTCTCCCTCCCTCAATTTTCTGTTCCTCTCTCTTGACCTTCTTCAGGTAACACTTACAGCAGGTCAAAATGTTTAACTGTCGCATCACCTTCTTGAGCAGCTGGCAGCTTCACCTGACATCACATCGTACAGCCACCACCAGCCAGCAGACTGTCTCCCCCTGACCTTCTAGCTCCATGTGTTCTCCTGTCGTGCAGAAGGGATTAGACATGCAGGATGTCAGTAAGTCTTCCCATCCATCACAGAGTCCTTGCATAAACCCCAGGAGCCAAAAAACACACATAAACACTCTTTTCACTGGAATCGCCTCATTTCAGAGTCAACATACAACTTGGACTATTAACTGATTGATTCTGCATATAAAATACCTAGACACAACAAAAAAAGGAAGTGTACTAACTTTAGACAAACCCAGATTGTTCCTCTCTTTGCAAATTACCTGCGAATGTAAAGGGGCCCGCAGGGTCACATATCATCACCATTTTACAACCTGGAATCTCTTCGAGAAATAACCCCCCACCACCTCCTGCTGCTTCCCCTTAGACTTTTATTTCACTTCAACATGATCTTACTTTTAATCAACAGAATAAAATGATTGCTCGTTTCTTGTATTCAACTCAGTTCTGTGATATTTCTACAGTCACAGAAACACTGATGCTCATTCTACTGCAGCACATGTCATAATTTGCTTTGAAGGAAAAACTAAATTTCAAAACTACTAGTGGTAAAGCCATTTTAAGTGTCAAAGCAGGTGATGTGCAGTTCCCAGAAGGACGAAATGCTCATTTCAACCTGCTTCTGTTGGTCCTGTGTAGAAGTATGCATGAGGTGAAGACACTGTTCAACATGGTCTCAGCACCAGAGGGGAGGTAGTACACCTGCCCCACGGGCTTTGCAAACAGTTGTTATTCTCGCTAAAATATAAAATCTTGTCAAACTGTTGCCTGAGAATACAGGGCACTTTCAGACAAACCCAAGCTGGTTGAGTCTTGCAGCTCTCTGAATGAGACCAGCAGGAAATAGAGAGGGACAAAAGAAAGGAGGTAAGAAGAATAACTATAAATGTAAAGAAAAATCTGGAGAGTGAGCTGTCATGCTTCTATGTAGTTTCTCCCATGTGTCAGAGTAACTAAACCACCTGCTGCCGACACAAACTACAAAACTGAACTACTATAAAACATGCTCAAGATAATAAAAGCTGACCTTTCATGAGATGGAGTGAGACATTTCCTTCTATCTCACAAGGTATAATTCTAAACTCGTGGTTATCATAAACAATAGAAGCTGCTGCATCAGTAAAGAGGAGAAACATTTAACTCCAGCAGAGCAGGGTTAAATGCTCAACATGACCCCAGATGGTTGAGTGGCAGTGAGCTATTTGGTGGCTGTTGCAGGGTTATCTGTGCAGCTACAAGCAGGTTATCTGAACCTCGGGTGCTCTGAAGCTACACATAATCTGTGTTATGCTTTCCTGACACAGCTCTAATTCTGAAAGGCATCTACGCTCTTGTCCATACATGCATATTTAGTACCAGATTAACACTTCTGGACTTCATGATCGAGGCTCAGCAGCGGGTGTCTTCTGAGAAATTGAATTAAAAAACTAATTTGCTAATTGTTTCGTTGCTAATGCTGGATGCTAAATTTAACTGCTTTTAGTCCATCCAAGTGCTGAAACAAAGAGCTTACAAACAACAGATCAGATCTAAAATTCACTGGTACACATTCTCAAAGCAGCCACAGCACAGGAGAAATAGAACCAAGCAATTTCTACCCCTCTGTGGCTGAAAGTCTTTTACGTGAAGCCTGTAAAAGTTGCTGGCACATGTTAAACTGACCTGAGCCAAACAGCTGACATCCCAAGGACACACGGTTTCTGTTTGTTCTTAAATAATACACTGTGAGAAATAATCTTACAGTGGCGACACAGATATGTTCCTAATGCTTTTAACAGACCAAGAAAGAAAAAAAAAAGACAGGTATAAGATGGATGGCTAAATGTGCTTTTTTTTTAGCCACTCTACTAAAAACGCTGAGTTGTGCCTCAGTCTTTCTAATCTGGTCAATTTCACGCGTGGATAAAGGCTTTTGATCGTTCTCAAAATAGAAACATAAGGAAACAAAGTATGAGCTAATCTTGGTAAATAGATTGTTTTGTGAAGCTGGAAACAGGGGCATAATAAAAATCCCCCTGTTGTAAAATGCACATACTGTAAAGGTCTCCCCAGACAGCTAGTGTTACAGCTTATCAGTGTGACAGTGTGTGTGCTGCAACATAGATGTAAGCCTCAGCCAATCTGGAAGATCCCAGCCATGAGGCAGACCAAACTGATACCCAAACACCATCTTTTCTGAGCCCATTCCCTCGAATGATGGATGAGATGGATGGCTAAATGTGCTTTTTTTTAGCCACTCTACTGAAAACGCTATATATTTGAGATATATAGTGTCTTGGTTTATGTCCATTAAGGTTATATTTAATTATCACCAACCTTCCATGGTCCTCGGGGCAAAGCCATAACTGAGACAGGTAGATCATTTCCTATGTCTAATCTCACTATCTCACATGCACACAGACATACACACAACACATCACTGTACAGGAAAGGGGGAAGCTGGGGATGCAGTCTTGGAGTAAACCTTGTAATTCAAAGCTGTCATCACTGACCACAAGGGACCCATTTGGTAAATAAGAGAGTGGTTCAACATTAGCGACACATACATTCAATGCCACATCTGCCCTCCATTCTGATTTGGAGTGAGAGACGGAGGAGGGAGGAGCAGACCAAGAAGGAAACGCAGAAAGAATGTGTTAATAGAGTGAGAGAAAAGTTGAGCAAGAAAAAAAATGAAAGTAGTGGGGAAAAAAACACCACAGATGCTTGTGAATGCATGTAAATGCCTGCAACACAATATTTTTGGCCTCGCTCTGCCCACCCAAGGTTTAATGTGTGCACATGAGGTTTGGCGTATGTACCCTCTGTAGCTACACAAACCACGTCTTCCAACACCACCCACAATGCCCCTCTTACCAATGAAAGTCATGAGGGGAGATCCAACTTATTTTGAGCAAGGAAAATTCCACATTGAAAAGTTAGAGAAGAAATTATGCCTCAATACAAATTAGGTTCCCCACAATGAGCCACTACGTGTTTTCACCAGCCCTGTCCCCCTGTTCTCAGTAGAGACTGCAAATATAGGATTATGTAAATGATTATGTAAGACATTAAATGGTTCTAGTTTCAAATGTGTAGATTGCCTGTGGCTCTGGAGTAAAAGGGAAAGAACTCACTCAATATGGATCACCTGAGGAAAGAAAGAGGAGTGTCAACAAATGCGTTCAATGCTAACATTCTGTTTTGACTGGAGAAGGCATGGTCACCACATGTGTGTATACATGTTTGTGCTTGCATGCAGCTTTCATTTAATTTTAATCTTTTGGACAAACTTTGCTTTGGCTGTTTGATTCCAAACCGACAGGAGGGTGTAGCAAACACAAGCCATTAAAAACAATTACAAAATACTCTAAAAAGGGGGGGTGCACAAGCATCAACACTTCCATCTGAACTAGACTTTTAAACACCAGCATCCTCAAGCAAGAATGTCCATGATGGGTGAAAACCTGAGCTACTATATGTCAAGGATCTGCTTCAAATTACCACATAGTGGCTTTACATCGGATGATCTAACAGGGATCACTGACTAAGGATCAGCCCAAACTCTTATTTAATTATTCAGGTAGTGTAACTGCCAACTGAATCAACTGACTCAAGATTAGCATTTGTATGTTCCATCAGCCTCCAGCAGCGAACTACCAAAATATAACGCATTTCATGAACCAATGTGACACAATCACACAACTTGGCCACTTTGACACATGCCCTGAAGCAGTGTTTCAAAACAGAAGTGTCGCAGGTGGTTCAAAGAGTGTCAATAGGGTGTCTGGAGTGCACCCATCACTAGTTGATAATGTCTGTGCTGCAGCGTTGCTACCAGAGAAAGACAGCATTATCCAAAAAGGGCACAGGACTGTAGAAATGAGTTCTTCTCTTTGTCCTACCAGTTAGACTGAAGTGCTGCAGCATGCTTTGTCCTACCAGTTAGACTGAAGTGCAGCATATTGCTGAGCTGATTGTTTGTTAATACATTTGATGCACAGTTACACTAACGTCGGTCTGTTGGTGATGAGCTACCAAATATTCACACTGTCCTCCACACTTGTCTCTTAAAGCTCATTACTGAGTAATTAATACACATGCAAATGCATTCCTTGTCTGAAGATGAACTAACATCACAACTATAAACGTCCAACACAATTCAAGTATGTGTGTTCAAATCAAGGAACCATCAAAATGCTAAGCCAAGGCTCACTATGTTTGGCAAAGAGATACTGAGTAATGCTTTTTAATATAGTGAGATGTAGCCAAATCTAATAAGAAAATATCATTAACATCACAAAGACCTCCCCTTTACCTGATTCCAGGTGCATGTGTATGGCTCTGGAGGTGCTCCTGCCAATGCTGGTGATGGTGGTGATGGAGACAGAGAGAGGAGGATGGGTGAGGAGGATGGGGGGGAGAATACGTGCAAGCAGAGAGGCAGCACGAGCAAGATGAATTGGTCCCGGGGTTGGGAGCTGAGCTGGTTCCTTGCCCTGTGCTTGGATTCTGGAAGAGTGGGCACTCCTGTTTTCCACAGGGGCAGCACAGGGTGGCATGGAAATGACAGTGCTGGCAACACAGTGGGGGCTGGAGAGGGGGAGAGGAAGAGGAGGGTGAGAGGGTAGAGAGAACGTGGCATTTGGCCAGCCTCTGGGAGTCTGTGATGGGGGATGATGGGACAGAGGGTGGGGGAAGGTTCCTCAGCGAGCCGTTCTGTTTGACCACCACACCATTTTGGCTCTGTCCATTTTCTCTCTGCACAACATGTGATCTCTGCTGGTTGTGCTGTACTACAGATGCTGCATCCTTCACTGGAACATCTTCATCTCCATCTGCTGTGAGGCAGTCACTACTGGACACAACTGCGAGAGGGTCCTGGATGTTTCTGACCGGTGTACTTGTGTTTGAAGGTGCAGTTCCATTGGCAGTGAGAGGATGGTGCCCTCCACTGCTGAGGGCCAGAGGGTCCCCACTTGCCTCGCTCAAGGCCATGGTCCTCTCCCAGTTGGCCTGGAAGAGACGCTGTCACTCCTCTGGCAGAGAAGAAAAAAAAAATGAAATAAGTCATTTACAACAAATGTTGACCTTTGCTTTACAAGCAGAGGAAATTAACAATTACTGATTGACAATTACAAGAAAAAAAATCGAAGAAAAAAAGACAAAAGAACATAAAATTAAAAAATAAGAAAGAAATGTTTTTTTAAGGAGCAGCATTATTTCCTGGCCAGGAGCAGCATCTTCCTGTCTTGTTGTCACTGTGAGGTTACCATGCCCTAGTGGAGACTCCAGGAAATCACTGCCTCGGACCAAACAACTACTTGTCATTGTTTTACACTTTGCTTTTTGTGCAGATTAAAGAAACAGAGTATAACCAAGCGGCAACCTCCTAGGCTGAGAAATTAAGCCAATGGGGAAGTGATCAAACCTACAGATCCTTGAATGGCCACTTAAGGTTTCCTCCAAAAAGGAGTTGATATCCACAGACTCCCATTTTAAAATGCCCAACTATAGAGCAGAAATAACCATGTTTATAGCCCGGCACAAAAAATGTTTTTTGTCTCCATAGCTTCCATGACAACCGTAAAGATTTTTTTTTTGTACAACTCACCCATTTAAATTAAAGTGAGACTAAATGTTATGCAAAATTAAGGCCATGGCTGCTTTGAGAGGATCCCTCCACTGGAGAATGGCTTCATTCTGCCCATTCAGCCCACCTCAGCTCTACTCACGCTGATTTTTGGATTAGCTGTAGCGGGGGGGGGGAAGCACTACCAATATGGTTTAACCAGACTTGAGCTGTAAAAATGCTCTTCAGAAAACCAATGGGTGATGTCAATGTGGGCTTGTCCATCTTTCATATAGTCAATGGGTATAATGTTCAATAATGAGCTTTAGTGTAGTGGAGCTAAGTGAAATTTTACCACCTTTGGACAAAGCCATTCTAAGGTATTCCCTCTGCCTTCTGGTCTTTATGCTAAGCTAAAGTAACATTTCCTGGCTGGCTATTACTTGCCAAAAATGAGAATGAGCAAATTTCCAAAAATGGTGCATTATTATCAGTAACACATTATTGCAATTTTTATGATATAGGATCTATTTTTTCACCTCAGCATCTGGAAGTTCAATTCAATTCAAGTTTATTTGTGTAGTGCCAAATCACACCAAAAGTCGTCTCAGGACACTTTACAAAGTAAGGTCTCAACCTACCTAGACCTCACTATTATTATTATTATAGGGAAAACCCAACATTCCCCCCTTGAGCAGCATTTGGCAACAGTGGGGAGGAAAAATTCCCTTTAACAGAAGAAACCTCAGACAGACCCCAGCTCTTGGTGGGCGGCCTTCTGCCTCGTCCGGTTGGGGTGAGTGGATAGAGGAGGGAGAGAAGAAGAAAAGCAACAGGACACAACAAACAATCAAACACTGGGCAGGTTGATGTGGCCGGTGACAGTGTATCAGAAACGTAGAGCTCCAGGGCATTTAGGGGTCGCCACAGCGAATCGTCACACTGACAACTCGCATGTTGACATTTGGCACGTGTTTTACGCCGGATGCCCTTCCTGACGCAACCCTCACTTGAACCCGAGCCACAGCGGCGAGAGCGCTGCGCCTTAACCACTAGCCTACCAGGGACGACAAAAGCTCTTCATCAAAATACTCAGGAAAAATGGAAAATGATGGTAGGAAAGATGTGACAGCAAACAGGAAAAGAAAACGATGAGGGGAGATAGTATGTGAATGCTCTCTGCCTTTCACATTGCTCAACCAGCCACAGAGTCTCTTCCCACACAGAGCTGAGTTGAGTTGGACAAGGCACAGAGAGGATGACTGTACTACACAAAGGTGAAATGTTGATGCTGGGCATCTGTTATTTTAGAGTGGACATTCTTTTAAATTCCCAGAACAACCAGTCCTCACAAACGGAGCAATTACCCCGGTTCAGAGTGAAGGAACAGAACACTGCCTAAGAAAAACAAGTGGTCCAGTATAACTGTGCACTCGGCAAAAATAACAGCAAAACACTAATGACATTATGGATGCAAAAACATTTACAGAAAAACTGGCCTGTTTAACTTCTCAAAAGTAGCATTTTCAACTATGATTTGTAAACACCTCAGACATTAATATTTCATGTGCAATGTTTGGCACTCAACTGACACACAATTAATGAAAGCCTGTGCTCAAGAGTGCAAAATATGCACTTTACAACCCAAGCTTAACAGTTATGAACCAACAAGGCCCATGTTTTTCTTTTTAACTGTATGCAGTGTGAGGAACAGAGATTCCTTTACCAATAGATTCAGATGAAATATTTGTATCTTCTTTATCTTGTAATTCAAATGTTCTATGATTTGTCTACAAATACGGGTCAGGTAAATTATTAAAGTTTAAGTAAAAACCAATCAAACACTAAGGTCATCTTGCAAATCAAAGAAATAAAAAAGCTGTCTTTCAAACTGAGCTGTGTTTCAAAGGTAATGCAGGGTCAGGGTGGGCCCAAACTACAACCCCACGGTGGAAAGAAAACTGAGAAAAGAACCAGTTGAACGGTGTGTAGATCATAATGCAAGGATGTCAATGATTAGTTGATAACAAATTAATCACCAACAATAACTGAATCAGTGAAAATATATATTAACCAACAGAGCAGAAGACGAGGATGTGTTGTTTAACTGTGCTGTAGTACCTGGTCGCTCCACTAGCCTCGAGGTTTAATGAGATGGAGTTACAAGTGTTTGCTGATCACCTGTATAGGCCACACAAATTATAAAGCCACCACACCTTCTTGCAGTCCATGAAAGAAAGAAGTGGCAGCAGTTTTCTGTGAACACTGTGACAGTCGTACTGATGGACTCTGCAAAATAAAGCTGTTGTCTGGGAGCTGCCCGGTGTAGCTATCTGAGGCTCAGCTAACAGCAGAAGGCACTTCTGTAGCTGCACTGCTAACATTCAGGATAACCAGAACTCTAATTCGACATGCTCTGACATAATCAACGCAAACATGGTGAACTGCATAAGTGACAATGGCCTGCTCTGAGTATAGGTGCATTTCACTGGTGGCAGTAAATATTAAAAGATTTCCCGGGCTGATAAAGTTGGTGCGACGGTATGTGTGCATCCCTGGGAACATCAATCCTAGCTGAGCAGGTGTTGGACTAATGTTAGTGACAGTGAACAATGTACAAGTCACCCCCACCCTGTAGATAAGGTATGTGGTCAGATTTGTCACCTCCACTGACGACGGGTGTTATGTTTTTGCCTGCATTTGTTGGTTTGTTTGGTTGTGTGTTTGTTTGTTAACAGCATTACTCAACAATGAATGGATGGATTTTAATGAATTTTTGGAAGAGGTAGGGTACGGCCCACAGGACAGTTGATTACATTTTGGCGCTGATCTGTTGCATAACTTGAATATAGGATCCTAAATGATAAGTGTGGTGTGACTTGTGTGCATCTATAAAGAACTGTAAATACACATTGTTGTGTCAGTCTGTTCATGGTGGGGTTTGTTCAAATTGCTAAAACTAGCTGGCATGCTACAATCTGGTTGCTGAGTTATTCCAGAAAGCAGGTTGTTTATTCAAGGTGAAATGAGGGAAATGCAGGCTTTTCAGTTCCAGAAACAAAGATCTACTCTATGCAGTGACAGCTGGGTGAGTGCCTGATGGCAGAGATTTGGAGCCAGGCTCAAAGCTGTTAACATTTTTATCTGTAGGACTGGTATTTAATTACATTTTGACAGGCGACGAAGTAACCACTTACACTGAGATGCGAGTGCCCATTAACTGACCAAGCTAGCTCTATTAGCAGGCAGCTACAGTACATCTCGTTCAGAGAACACTAGTCTGTCTGGAGGACACCAGTGTTCCAGCTTCACATTATTGCTGCATTTCCACTGTCGGAACCTAACAAGCAATACACCCCATGCTTCACTTAACCATCTTCTGGCATAACCTCACAGGTTGACACGAACTGTCCTAGTTTGCTTTTCCACTGTATTTTTCTGTGTCAGTCACTGTTTAGAGGAGAGACACACACTCAGCTGTGCAGAGGGAGAGCACAGGATGTGAAGGATGCAACAATCTGCCAGTAACAGACTGTACGAGCAGTTTTTCAAACAGCTGTTGAACAAGCAGAATTTCATGGTCATAAACTCTGACTTGAACAGCCATGTATTGTATATATCTTGTTACAGTAGATAAAAGATTATAGGATAAGTAATTAGCATTTAGGATTACACTGACCATCAGCATCAATTCTGATAATAATCTGCAACTTTTTATGCAAAAACCTGGGAAATCATGACTGGTATTTCAGTATCAACTGATAAACTGAAGAGTTAGCTGGGAAGATAATTAACAAATCAATCACTAACAAAAATAATTCTTAGTTGAGCCCTACAAATAACAATAGTCCAGATGATGTAAACTCAACATGTAGCAGGTTGACTTTCAGCAGTTCAACATTTTCTAACTGTATGATCAAATAATTATAATAATGAACTCAATAATAATCCTCAAGCATAGTGTAGCGACCAAAGTTCTGTTCCAGCTGTGGACCTTCACTGAACACCATTCTACTGTCTTTCTCTTCTAAATACATTTATTGATCAATTTATCATTTGACAATTTCTTTTTACCTCTATGACATTTGACTGTAAAGGGATACAGTCATAATTACAACTGTACAACTTGTAATAAACTTGTTAGTAAGATCACAGCTGTGACAACCAGTGTCTGAACTATGTAACAATACTACTGCATTTCCATTCCATTTCCAGTGTAAAACCATTAAACTCTCATATTTTAGTTTGCCTCTGAGTGTATTGTGAATTACTCCCTTTTGATGCATGAAGACAGGCCTAAGACTACTATCAGTGATACCATCAAGAGATAAAACCCTGAATGAAGGTGAGACATGGAGAATATTTCAGATGCTGCAGACCTAAGCCGTGTTCATTTTTTGTAAAGCTCCTAGAGAATTAATGTTAACTACGTATTTAAATATATTAATATTAAGGAAGTTACACAAAGGTTTTCATTCCACCCACATCATGACTCCTGAAAAATACATAATGGATGCACTTCCATTAGAGCACCAGGTGATACATCACACTACCCTGTTTGTCCCATCCAACCCTGAGTGAAAGACGTGGCCCATGTGAGTAATGCTCTCTGTGGCACCTTAACATGAGTGAAAGGTGAAACACAAGCATGACAGCCTCGTTGGGTCAGGGATGGCTAAAAGGACAAGGTTGAAAAACGGAGGAGGGGAGAAAGAATGACTCTGGAACTCAGAGAGCTCAGAATAGCAAAGTGCTGAGAGAACCCAAATTAAGTCATTAGTCTGGCTTCTGCAGCTGTCAAAAGCCTGTAACGGCTTAAAAAGACTAAATGGAAACAGGATAGTGTAGATTGGTATTTAAGTGTGAAACAACTGCATACAGAGAATAAGATTTGGTGCCACCCTGTACAATCAATTGTGCCACCAAACACTTCTTTCTGTTGTCTGGATCTAAAAGAATTCATCCTCAGCTCTGTGCATGTGTGTCAGTGCGGAGTGCTGACAGGCAGGTGAGACATCTAGGGCAGTCTGCGTGAATGCCTCTCTTCAAAATAAAAGCTGACAGCTGGGCCAAGCTGCTCCATGAGCAACTGGCACTAAGGCTCAAAAATGCTTCTGCTGTTCCTTCTATTTATGAAGGAAATTTAGTTCATTAGAGGAAAAACTGAATAACTGTGGGTTGCGTGGGTTCTCTCCGGGTACTCTGGCTTCCTCCCACAGTCCAAAGACATGCAGCTTAGGTTGATTGGTGTCTCTAAATTGCCCATAGGAGTGTGTGTATGTAAATTGCCCATAGGAGTGCGTGCGTGTATGTGTGGTTGTTCGTCTCTGTGTTAGCCCTGCGATGGATTGGCGACCTGTCCACGGTGTACCCCGCCTTCGCCCGATTGCTGGCTGGGATTGGCTCCAGCGCCCCCGTGACCCCGTTCAGGGACTAATCGGTAGAAAATGAATGAATGAATTTAGCTCATTAGAGGAAAAACTGAATAACCGAATTAACGCACACTGTGGCACACACACACAAACAAGGCCTGGTAATAATTAACTGGAACAGAAAACAAAGTAACACTAGTATCAAAGTGAAGGATAAATGAGCAGTGTTCCAGTTTTTCTCAATTATTAACAAGCATGAGTCAAAATACATTAGGTAGGTAGGTAGGACTTTATTGATCCCACAACGAGGAAATTCCTGTGTTCCAGCAGTAATTTCCCCGTTGTGGGATCAATAAAGTTCTGTTCCAGTTAATTATTACCAGGCCTTATTTGCATGTGTGTGCCACAGTGTGTGTTCATTCGGTTATTCAGTTTTTCCTCTAATGAGCTAAATTTCCTTCATAAATAGAAGGAACAGCAGAAGCATTTTGAGCTCATGGAGCAGCTTGGCCCAGCTGTCAGCTTTTATTTTACCAAAACTCTTCACAGTCTGCATTACCAATGTGCATTTTAGTCAGACAGTTGATCCTCCAAAACTCTCTTGGACCAGCAAAATACTTCATTCATGTCTCAAAAGCTTGTTCAACTGTAACACTGGCAACAATTCTCAGTCATTAAGCACTCATGACACAATGGCCTAAAAAACACAACAGGCAACATTACATAAATGATCATTTTTCACAATAATCATTAGAGAATAACACGTTTTCACTTTCACTAATAAAATATATGTAACGAGAACACATCAAAAACACAGATATTTGTTTCAATATCTTTTTTTTTTGCATATAGTAATTTACTTGAGAAAAATTTTTAAAAAGCTAAAACAAACTAATTCATGAAATTCCAGGGCTGCAATAGCAATTACAAAAACAAAACAAAAAAAAAAACAAATATAGTAAACTCATCCATACTGTATGTCCAGTACTGGGAGGGTTCTAGTCCTCGCTGTCTCCTGCATTTCACCACAAGCCGACGACGCGTCTTCGAAAGCATCTTATGTTTCCAAACAAAATCATTCTGATTCCCGTTTACTAAGAGATGCTAATGAGACTACACACAGGACACCTGGGGATGCTTGCAGTTCAGACTGCAATTAGCTGGGTTATTATTATTGTATAATTTTACTGTAAATGTAAATTCTCTGCTATAGATTTTCTGTATATTTCAATATTTTAC